AGGATATTCTCTTGTAACACTCTTTTTGAGTCTCTAGCTATTTCCCTTTTTCTTCTTTTGCACAGACCATTTTTATTAGATATTTTTCCCTCCATAGTCAATCTACTCACACTTGATATTTATGCACGTCCATTTGTTAACCAGAGAATGTTAATGCATGATAAAGTATAGAAAATATTGTATCATAATACAGTAATATATATAATGACAATTGATACATTATTGAGTGTAAGATTCTGTTGGATCGTCGAGCGATGTTGAACTTGACCATGTTAATTAGATAGATTAAAAAGGGAGCCGTTATTCATTTATTTTTATAATATTTTAGCAGAGAATAATCTAAAATTAAGGTAGACAAGAGAGTACTTTTTTGAAGGACTAAAAAAAAAAAAGGTGAAGCAAAGATAGAAAGGGGAGAGCAAGGGGGCAAGAAAGTCATTGACTATGGAAGGAAAAGTTAGTTAGCCAGTTGTGTAAGGGCGCATGTGAATGTGTGTATGGGCCAACAAAGCCTAAAAAACGTACATCAAATGAGACCATTTACATGAGGAAAATCAAAGGGCCTTCATCTTCGTCAGGTGTAGAATCGAATTTAAAATTTAAAGCTTATAAATTTTTATCTCGATCATAAAATAGTTGGGTTTTTCATGATCATCAAATATTAATGTCATATATAGAGTTTGAACAAAAGTTATTAAGTCCGTAAACACAATGACTATGTTAAGAATTCCCACATCGAAAAAGGGGTGAGAATTTGATCTCTTTATATAAACTTCGACAATCCTCCCTTCACAAGCTTACTTTTGAGTTTGAGTTAGGTCTAAATCCATCTTTTCAGACTCCCCTCTGACTCGGCGACTGTCACATAGAGGTGGGCCGATGGAAGAAAAAGCACATGGGATATTGCACATGCTAAGGTAAGAGGCAAATAGAAGAGAGAAATAAAGTGTTGAGAGAGAGGGGGCATGTGACAATGTATAGACAGTGAAGCAGCATGAAATGTACAGCTTGTTCTGCACATTCCCTGCATGCTCCTCTGCTCTATTTCCTTCATTCTTCCTTTGCCTCACACCACAAATATTATTTTAACTAACTCGATCTCAACCATATATATAATGGACGTAAAAAAAGTTATTCACGCTCCGAGTGTTTATACCAAACAAATGAATAGACGCAATATCAATGTATTATGTATCTCAATTGTTGGCTAATAGAATTATGATTATGAGTTTTAAAAAATCAGAAATTATTTCAATTTAGTCACATGTGAGCATGTGATTTCCTAGCTATCTATATACGGCATGTAAGCCACGTGTGACTAATGCTCGTGCTTTCATCTGTCATTAAATAATTGATATCTATAATCTCAATTTATTGTACTAATATATTTCACGAACTTATGATTAAAGTTGTCTTTTTCCAACTCAAATCCTCTTTTTTAATAATTCAATTGTGAGTATTAATTTAGTGCCAACCCTCCCTCTCCACATTTTATTGATTTTTTTATCGTATACAAAACTCTAGCTCTGCCCCTAATTATAAGAATGATAGTAATAGATCTATATATTCAGGTCCCTGCTGTCGAATGTGATTTTGAATTTTGTTTCTTTTGACATAACAATGACAATGAGCGCGCATCTCATCAAAAGTTTACAATATACAACTATTTGATAAAGACATATTGGTGAAACTTAACTTATGCATTGTCTAATTCATAAGAATTTATAAGGGCGTATATCATTTTTATTAAAAAAGTACGACACATCAATTAAAACAGAAAATAGCATTTGAGATGTATATATATATATATATATAGAAAATTATACTGTAAATACATAAAACTTATAAACCTAATTTATAATCCTGTATTGTCAAGTGAATACATCAACATCAGTTATGAATAGCAGCAGCAGCTACATTTACGATTCACCATGTGTTTCACTTGTCTGTTTTATTCCTTTTGTTTTTTGGTCGGCATTGTGCACAAGCTGAGCTACCTCCCATATAATATATACTTGTTTATTATTACAAAAACATTTTTTTTAGAAAAGAATAACTAGTACTTTTGGTTGCTGATCTATATATCACTTTACTTCAGTCAACATTTTTATATTATCACCTTCAATAGTACTCCTAAAAAATATTACTTATGATATATCAAACCATTGTCGTCATAATATAATAGTAATACATGTTTCCATATTAATTATGAAGTCATTATTTTCCAACAGAATTCCATTGTGATGAATACACCCGCTCCACTCGGCCGGTTATCAGAAGGATATAAGTCAATTTAATCGATGAGTTCACGTGAATTTAATAAGTTAATAATCGGTGCCTCCTTTTTTTTTGGTTTTAAACCATTTGATAAGCCCACTTGTTTTGTCCCGCATGCACAATTGTTTCTGCGTTTCTTCTTCTTTTACACTTTTTCCCATTTGTCGTTTTGTGATACCTTTTTCCTCTCTTCTTTTGTTCTTTTGTTTCTTTTTATTCATTTTTCCTTTCCCTTGTAATGTTGCTATGCTTGCGTCGGAGACATTTCTATATTTTTCCTCAAGATTTTATACAATTTTCCCTACTTTATCTTTTCTAACAATCCCTTTATTATACTTACAATTTATACAAATTAACTAATTGTAAAATTTCATAATTAATTCAACTAGTATATAAATAAAAAAAATAGGGTATTTTTCAATTTGTAGTCCGTTTTAAAAAGAATATTTGTTTAAACCCTTTAATTCTTTTTTATTTATTTAAAACTCCATGTTATGAAATCAAAATCAGATAAACAAATTGAAACAAATAAAATTGTAAAAGCACATGCAATTAATTAAGAGGTAATAACATAAAGTTCGTCTAATATGTCGTATCTTACATTTATTATAGCGTTAGCCAAATTTTGGGAAACGGAATGATTTTGTTCAAGCAAATTGGGCGGACTTGTGAAGTATGTGGGCTGACAAATGACAATAAGATACCATATATGGGCCATAAATCAAGAGCCTTCTAATTCTTGGTCCGTAATATTATGCATCAAGAGCCTTCTAATTCTTGGTCCGTAATATTATGCATTACATTAAGAAGAAATTACGCGGATAAGCAAACATATATTAGTTAATTAGCTAACATAACTATAGTTTTTATTATTTACCACTCGCAACTTAATTTTAGCTATAATTACTTGTGCCTCTCTCCTCTCTTACACATATACCACTCTATGCCCTCTCTCGCTCGCACCTCTCCTCCGTCTCCCAATCTCGCTCGCATCTCTCCTCCGTCTCCCAATCTCGCTTGCTTCTCTCCTCCGTCCCTCAATCTCGCTCGCCAAATATACAAATACATATGTATACCAGTTACAACTTACATATATATATATATACACACACAATTATCTGACAGATATACATATACAATTCGCCTCCCTGCCCTCTCTCGCTCGTCTCTCTCCCTTCCTCTCCCAATATCGTTCGCCTCTCTCCTCCCTCTAACATGTAGCTATGAATCGTGATTAATAAACTATAGCTATGGAGCCTAATTAAGTTTATTTTAGTGGCTATTTGCGAAATTTCCTCTTAGATTAATCATTTAAATATATTATATTTTTTTAGTTATGTGCATTATTTTAAATAAAATGTAAAATCTCGTACGTATTTAAATTGATCTATGTTTTCAAAGGAAGAAACACATGTTATGGGATTAACTTGTTTACGTAATAGTAAATTGTGAATACTCACAAAACTTTTCTACATATAAATTAAAAGAGTCTAAAATAAATATTTTATCACCTATTTAGATGATTCATTGAAAAATGCATAGTTTGAATATGCAAATAAAACTTACGAACAAATTTAAAAGGCATTAATATATTCAATGTAATATAAATAATATATTACTTTAATACAGATTGGTCCATTCATGGCATAATTATATTACTTCCTTGAGTGAATTTGTTTGTTCTACTTTCATTTTGAATCTGTTTTTAAAATAATGTGTTTCTTCTTTATGATACTTCATCTGTATCAATTTGTATGACATTTTTCATTTTTTAACAGTCAAGTAATTTAAATTTGATAAAAAATTTGTTTATGAAATTTTCAATTTTTCTAAAATGAAATTTATATACATGTAAGCTACGTAAAAAATACTATAAATCACAATAATTGAAGAACTTTCGCAAATAGTCACTATAATAAACTTAATTATGCTTCATAGCTATAGTTTATATATTTACGGGCTGTAGCTACAGTTTAAGCTGCCTCGTTTGTATAATTTGCTGATTTTTATAATTCGCAGGTTTGTATAATTCGCCGGTATATTTGTATAATTCAATTATTTTTGTATAAACTCGAAATAACAAATTTATACAATTACAAACATCATAAGTGTAAACAGTCATACAAATTATATTATACAAAAATTATACAAATAATATTATACAAATTCTGAATTATACAAAAGTGCGAATTATACAAAACTAAAAAGCTGAGTTACGTAATTATAGCTAAAACTAGGTCGCGAATTGTAATTAAAATAAAATATAGCTATGTTAAGTAATTAACTAGTATATGTTTGCTTATACGCGTAATTTTTCCATAATTAAAAAGATATATGAAAAATTTAAGATCAAAGATAGATTTAGTTGAATCTAGAAATCTGAAAGGCGTCACATAAATTGGGAGGGAGTAATATTTTTTAATTTCAACTTTCCATGTGAAAAGTTTTAGACTACTTCAAAAAATTTCTTTATTTTCTTAGTCAAGTCAAAATAAGATAAAATGAAAGGATTATATTTCGTGTCAAGTTTATTTTTAAAGCAAAAAGTGGGATGCGACGAAACGCCGTCGTTATTGTTCAGGCCTTGACAAGGGCTACGATCTGGTGCATCAGCAGCATACAATATAAAGAATGTTGGCATTTCTTACACCGTTATCAAGAAAAGATAGGACCCACAGGGCCCAATACGAACGGTACGCAGTTGTTTTTTTGGGACACACATCAATAACAAATTTCTATTTCTCTCTCTTAAATGCAAAAGTCTGCTAATCATTTTCTCTTCCGATTCCGGCGACGATTACCGGGGAATGTTTTCCGATGACGGTCTGATTTCTTTAAAGAGGTAATAATCTCATAATCTTTGCTTCTTTGTTTCAGTTGTTTGAGTTTTGCTGACGTTCATTTCCATTGATTGATCATATCTCATTGATAAATAAAAAGTTCATAGGTTTAATTTAGGGTTATATTCGAATTAAGGGTTCAAATGGAGAGGAATAGATATAGAGGATTCATATGATGGACTAACAAGTTCGGATTGTTAATGTTCTTGTTGTATTTTCTAATTTAGGGTTTTTTTCCCTTTCCGTTGGTTTTTCCCCCCTTTTTTTATCCCAGAAAGTTATACTTGTTTTGTTTGTTTTCAGCCTTAAGAAAGCGGACAAAAATTGAACCTTTTCGGGGTGGGTGGGTGAAATTACCTTTATTTTGCTCATTTTCTGGATGCGTATGCTTTGTCCTTTTTCATGTACCGGTTGCTAGTATTTTTTTTTATTTTTTTTGTGGGTAATTGTTGAATCTGTTTTAGTAATTTTCTGAAAGGGGTGGCCTTTTCTGGGATTTTGATCAGTTCACTGAGTTTCCTCCAACACCATAGCATCTCCTTGGTGTTTTCATAAAGCTGACAGCTACTTGGATAAATGATCTTTACATAACTTAGTGTTCTTTTACAGGTCAATAAGCAAACTGCAAAGACTTTTGTTTGTATATTGCTTGTGAAGGAAATAAGAAAATTGAAATTTGTCCTTGGGTAGACCGTTGCAGAAGAACGATTCATTCTTCTCTTTGCGTCTAGTCTGTTTTATTTCAAAGCGAATCTCTATGTAGGAAGAAATATCATTGCGAGTTTTTTGGTTTTTCGTTCTATTTTTATATTTGAAGATTTATTAAGTTGGAACTTTGAACCTCATTTGTTTTGAGATATTTGGTCAGAATAAAATATGACCCGGTGGTCAGGAAGTGTTTTGATATATTTGTAGTAATTAACCTCATAGGTTCTCATTTCACATATCTTTATAGCTTCCTTGTTTGTCCAACATCCATACTTTTGTTTTTTTTTTCTTTATTCACAATTTCATGTCATCTAAGCATGATTTAGTATAAATGTTTACTTAGATATTTGGGTTATCTTCACAGTTACTCTTGATTTATTGCATAAGGAAACCAGTTTTCTTAAAACTGAAACTCGGCATGCAGATAAGTTCATGCTTCTGCAAGTCATTATCTAAGTGAAGAATTATCCTTTCTCTGAAGTGCAGTATGATTGCACCAACTGCAAGGCATGAGAGCTGATTGCTTTGAATTACCAAAATCTTTATAAAGAGCTGAAAAGCAGACCATATTCCAGCTGGTTTCCTTGTTGTGCACAAGATGGCGTGTGATGAAATTCTGAAGGCTGTATTCCCATTTCTGGAGGGCACTGAACTGGCTACATGTATGTTAGTGTGCAAACAGTGGCGAGATATTGCACGAGATGATTACTTCTGGAAATGTCTTTGTTCTAAAAAATGGCCATCTATTTGCAAACGGTCATCACCTCCCACTGTAACATACTATAATCTATTTCAGAACTTTCATAGGCGTCCATACCGCCGGACTGTTCTCCCTCCAAAGCTTTCCTTCAGTGACTTAGAGTTCTACATTGACATATGGACTGAAGAGAAAATAATATTTTCAGATGTGGTCCCAGGGCCTGTTCTTCAGAAGGGAATCTGGATCCCACCTCCTGGAATCTGTGATGTGCTTAAGTTCCACTTGGAAGGGCCTGAATACAAGATGACTTTACCTGTGGAACCAAGATTTACAATTCCTTTGTGCCAGACAGTCAGCGTCTCTGTGCTTGTTGGGCGCAAAGATACAAATAAAGTTGCATGCATTATCAAGAAGTCCCTTTTTGATTATATAGATCGAACAGCATATCGGGCTTTAGCTTATGACTATCTTGACTTCTCCTCTCCTATGTGCTTGTTTGTATCGGGTGTTCGGGCATGGATATCTTTGCTGTTCATGGACCATGGTAATGAGGGGGCCCTTGATGTTTTTGGGATTGAGATGGATTTCTGTGATGCTGCCAATTCTGAAGACGAGGTCCTTTGGCTTCTAGACATGCTGGAGTGGAAGTAAGTTCAGTGACTTCCAGATATCTGTCAGGTGGCCAGTTGCCTAAGTTGTAGTATGTCCACTTTGGCTAAAACTTGTACATAGTTATGCCGCTAGAGTGGACGACCATTTAAGTTGTGCACTATGCCGAATTCCAACTCAAAAGTTATTTTTCTGAAGTACTGTTGTAGTTGTCGTTGGAAAGAATATTCACAATAAGATACTCGTATATCATTTCATGTATTAATTATCTATGACTTATGCTGCAAAACCTGTTCCATCTTTTTCACTCTTCTCTGATGCACTCTTTTAATATCATAGTTGATTTAGATTTTCCCCGAGGATGAAAGAGCTATCCTGTTCTTGCTTTTGTGTGACATCCTTTAGTGGAAATATATCCTTTCGATGTTTGCTTGTTAGTTGTGTGTAATGACACTATCTGGCCACTGTTCCAGAGGAAGAAAGACTTGTTTTAAGACTTCTGTGTTTCCTTCATACCGTGAACTGAATTAAAACCCGTAAACTGTAGTGAACCATAACATTTTCTGCAAATACTTAGCTTTATCAAGGGTTTTCAAAACATCAGTGGAAATTTAGCAATTCAAAATAAAGAAGGAATCACAGTGGAAATTCGTTCACGTTTGATCCTTAGTTACAAAAAGTACAACAGTTAAATAGGAGGATGATTTTGATGTGAGTTGTGATATCTTTTGAAAACAACATGAAGTTCTTATCTAGATTATTTATTATCCTCCGATGTCTACCCCTAGCGAGCACTATGAAATTTCACAACCCTTACGCGCTGTTTCTACTAAGCCAGCCATAATAACGTCAATGATTAAAGTAGACTTACACTGGAGATCATATTATTATGCCAAAATTTCTAATAATGAGAAAGATAACGCAATAATCCTGCCAACAGCTAGTACTATTTTACAAATGTGGAAGAACAAATACGCATCATTATGTTACATGAGTTTGGCAATTAGCCATAGGTAGGCCCAGAAAACATTCAGTTCAGTACAGGCTTCGATGATGACTTGAGCTCTCAGGAACAATTGGCTCGCCAGTGAAGGGGTCAAATTTGTATGGCTCACCAGTGAAGGGATCAAACCTGATCCGTGGTCGAGTCTGTTGATGATCAGAAGTTGGGGTAATGCGTGAATGAAGTCCAATTCTGTCAGCAGTAGCTGAAGGACTCCATGACGCCTGAAAAGTGGGACCTGCTTCATCCATCCTTGATACCCGACCAGATGGGAGGGATGTTGCCTGCAAAACGGGACTTGCTTCCTCCATCCTCCTTGTAGTCCCCCCGCCAGAGAGGAGTGACTGCAAATTGGGACCTGCTTCATCCATCCTTTTTTTGTGAAAAGGACCTGCTTCCTCCATTCTCGTTGTCACCCGTCCATACATAAGTGAAGTCGCCTGCAAATGGGAACTTGCTTCCTCCATCCTTTCTGTTGTCACCCGACCAGATAGATGGGGATCTAAATACGCTGAATAGCGAGATGTGTAAACATCAGCCCTGCAAGAAACCAGCAGCATAGTGTTCATGTTACCTCAGTAGTTTTCTACCTTCAATAATAGGTACTTCACTAAAGAGCCGGCAAAAACATATTATCACTCCAAGACTATTTTTACTTGCCCAACATCATTCTGCTCTTAGAACCGGACATGGAGCATAGTTCTAAAATGTTCTAGAGTTGACGTGTAAGCTAACCTAGCCATGGGCAAGGGTACTCGAGAGGCATATGAATCTAGATCTGGCAAACGAACTCTTGTAGAGAAGCTGTCTGGTTCTGGTACCCTCAAGGCAGCATCTTCTATCCTCGACTTGCTATCAAACTGTTTCAATCCCAGCTTTTCAACCTGCTGCTATTTCCAGAGAAGACTTCGTTAAATAATGCGCGCAAAAGATAGTAGTACTAACAAAGATAAATATTTTGATGCTTATCTGCACTCTGCAGAACATACTTTAGAAATTAATGAAGCTAAAAATCCTCCCTTGTTCGGCATATCAGCTTCCGACCACATGAGCTATAAATGAAAGGCATTGGAGAATAGAAGCATGAGAGTCGATCTTCAATTGCTGTAGAATATACTACTAAAATTTTCACTAGGAATACAAGAGGTATAAATATTTCAGACCTGGTCAAGAACAGATATGGCAGCTGACTCGGGCAACATCTTAAGACTGGTTAGATTTACAACATCTATCTGAGAATAAAAACACATTCAAAACCTTTAGCCGGTTCAAGGTAACACAGAACATTCAACATCAGAAATAGGTTACAGCAAATATTATGACGTAACAGATGTCGCATAAAGCAGGTGAAAAGCTTATGTTGCATGATAATTTATGCAGATTTCACAATGCAACGTGCTAACCAGATAAAAACATGTCAGTTGTTTGACCACACAAACATACAAGTAAACCATGTATTTGTAGAATTTACATGTCTTATTTTTTCTGCAGAAAGTAAATCATGTATTTGTAGAATTTACATGTCTTATTTTTTCAGCTTCTGCAGAGATAAAGCGGGCCTATCCCTGATCCTAAGAAATAAATTCCATGGATTAGGGTGTGTTAGGTATGGAACAAGGAACTTGTTTACCCATGTTTGATTGGTCAACGTTTTTGGAACATATTTTCTCTAGGAAAAGAAGTTCCTTACAATGAGGAAAATGACTTCCACTAGGGAAGTAGGGAAAACAAGTTCCACAAGCAACATTCCACATCGGTTGTACTGAACACTGTACCCCCCCATCTGCCATAGAATTTGCTTAGATTATATACAAATGCTTTTACGTTAATAATTTTTGCTTAAGTACTGAACACAAGAAAATAAGTAAGAAATCCACTTATTTTCCCAAAAAACATTAACCTTCATACTGAACACGCCCTTACTATGAACCATCAAAAACATGGATCAATTCACTAACATTAGACATTTATATTAGTGAAACAGAATTGATAACTCCAGATACCACTCAAAAGAAAACAAAGAATTTATATCTTGCCACTATAACCCATATAAATGAAGAGGCAAGAAAGAGGATCACAAATTTTATATCAGCTTGCTTGGCAGTTCATTAAACAAACACTTGAAGCCAATACAAACAAACTAGATAATGGCAACCAAAACGGAACTTGCCTTTCTTTGTCAATACATACTCACAGAAAAAGAAGAAATTTCATATTTTGCTGTTGATGATAACAAAATTAAGAAGAACACTATTTTGGCTAGAATTGACATGAAAACCTTCTTGATAAATTAGGAAGACATAATACATGAACAGAATTACAGCTTCGGGTAGTAGAGTCCATCCGTTAACTTACATCATATCTAGTAGCAATACCAAGCCGCAAGATCCGAACTAAACGCTCCTTGACAAGCACAGGTAGTGCAATTACAGCAGCTTCATAAGGATCCAAATAATCCATTTCCTGATTGAAGAAATATAATCAAAGCATAAGACGACAGATTCAGAGTTGAATGGAAAATAACAACCATTCAAATCAAAATGAGCTTAAACAGTTCAATCATGCAGATGACAATAACTTCATATAGACTCGCTTCAAGCATTTATGATCATAACGTTAAACACAATATTATTATTCTTATTATATTTTCTTGATATGGGATTCCCATCCCTTCAAACCTCCATGGTGGAAGTGGAGTGCTACCAGAATATTATGCGCTAGGAGGATATTTACAAGAGCAAAAGGCAAGTTCTACAAAACGATTACTGGACCAGCATTGTTATATGGGAGTGAATGTCAGTCCTCTAAGGTCCCATATCCACAAAATAAGTGTTGCAGAAATTTTAATGTTAAGATAGATGCATCATACAAGATTAGAGAAATTCAGGAATGGTCATACGCCATAAGGTGCAAGTAGCACAAATAGAGAACAAAGTGAAGGGTCTCTTAAGACAATTCGGTCATGCCCTACATAGACTCCAAATGAAAAGAAATGAAGTACACCACAAAATCACATAAAATGAAGTTATCTTAAAGACCCAAAAATCACATAGAATGAAGTTACTTAAGGACCTAAAATCACATCGAATGAAGTTATCTCAAAGACCTAAAATCACAAAGAATGAGCTTATCTCAAACACTTACAGTCGCATGAATCCATGCAGATTTAGAGAACCTCTAATACCATGGAACTTCAAGTTACAGATTATCCAATGAAATAGGTTCAGATAGAGTGCAATAGATAGTGTAAATTCATATGGTGACCCCAACTAGCTTGAGATTGAGGCATTAGTTGTATATTTGAAAAGAAGAACTGACGGTATACTACAAAGGTAGAAGCATCATATAAACTTTGCCCAATGCAAGCCACGAAATTTCTATCAGAGCCACTTTTACTTTATTTTCAAAGGAAATTGTACCGGCAAATATTTGCAAGATTAAAAAGCCAGCATATAAAATATTTTGAAGGAGATGAGACATCAGAGATATCAAAAAAGAAATTAACATCTGATAGGTGCATCACCGGTTGAGCTTTTGATTTAGGACCCCCAACCATCTCAACATTTGGATCATCCTTCAAAAGCTTGGAATGACTCTCAATGTTACTGGACAGTTTTTGATCCTCACGACCTCGTTTCCTGTTCTTATCCGTTGGCCTCGCAACTTCGACCTGTTAGCAGATCATAATTGATCATCAATATTACATATCTGTAAACTATTGTAAAAGATATTAGCTTGGCCAACTTATGAAAACTAGAAAGGACAAAAATCACCTGAATCTTGCTTGAGGGACCTCCCATTGGCCCTTGTACAGTTTTCTCATTCAATCCTTTAATAGCATTGTCAAGATCCTATCCTCACGGCATTCGTTGGTAGATGGGGGTGGGAAAAGAAACAAAAGAAAGACAATGTCAGCTATTATAAAGCAAAATTGCAATTTTAAGGGTCCCTTTTTTATTTTGATTTTTACTTTTCCCCTGATAAAATCAGATTTTCCAGCAGAATTGATATTCAATGCTACTACATGGATCATATCCTTTTAGTTTATTGTACTGACTCTAGACAAGAAGAATACTAATTGTCTATTATTCATCACAAGTAGCAGTAGCTTTAATGATGCTAAACAAGACTTGTAAGCATATTAATGGCAGGAAACTAATGACAAACTGTGATTCAAGAAATTTTCGAGTGGCTCCATTGCCAAACTTTCTGTTACTATCTCACACACCCGTTCAGGTATGCAGACAAAATTCCCATTTTAAGGACATCAGCTCCCTTCTCCCACTGCCCATTGAATTCACCTCCTTGA